ACAAGAGGACTTGTTTTGCAGCCATAAGACGTGAACAACTTGTAGTCCCTGAGGAGACCATGAACTCCTCTCTATATCAAAATATTCCAAATGTGAGGCCATCAGTTAAAATTTGGCCCAAACTGGATCAATGTAAAACAGAAAGGCTGAAAAACATTATCCACGTTTTTGTTTATTTCATCATGAAATAACTGTCTTAATCGTGTCAATTTATTGATTAAGTGACAGAAGAGTTACATCTTATATTATGGGCTTTCCTTTTAACCCATTAAAGAACACTTTCAAACCACTTTTGTGAACTTCCAAGCACTGTGGAGTTTTGTTTTTCATTTTTTAGTTTAATTGCAATTGAAATCTGGTTAAAGGAACTTACAAGTTCACCATTTTGATATTAAAAAGTAAGATAAACAATAAATTCACTTTGTAAGAAGATAGATTCTTTTATTTAGTAAAATATATTTTACAAAATGTTCATTTTGCTCATTATAAAGATAAAAAATATTCCTAAATCTTCATCAGCATAGAAAAAACAATCAAAACAAAAATATACAAATAACCAAGTAACTAACTAAATAAATAAATAAATAAAACAAATAGACAAGCAATTAAATTAACACAGTCATCATCACAGACATGACAACAGACAGGTTTTAGTGGGCCGTGTGAAGAGATGAAGCCAGCTGTTCTGCTCTCATTAGATGGGCTTTGGCTTCTTTCCTGATCACCTCCCAGGCTTCAGCACTGTGACCCTACAGAAATACCAATATTAGTATTCTTATTGTTATTGAAACAAGTTATTATATCTATTTATTTTAAGGATGATCTAAACCCCAAATTAATGAGAATGATGTGATCTTACCATTTCCTTTAGGATATGATGTGAGAGTCTCTTAAAGTACATGCGCAGCTTTGTGGTTTTCTTCTTGTGACTGTGGCTCCCAGTCTAATTTAATTACAAGCAAAACGACAATTAAGAATATGTCATGTCATGTAAAGTATTTGAATGTAATAAAAACCTAACTGAAAGTGAACTTACACAGGAGTGAAGCTCTTCAGCCTGTTTGTTGACAATATTGAGCAAGTTTCTCACTGTGCTGTCCTCCCATGATGCAGAGCTGTGATCCTCCTCAAACAGGGCAGCCACCTCCTC